GCGTGTCTACAACGGACACGCGACACTGGGGACTGCAGCCCCCAGCGAGAGGGATTCTCGCTGCAAGAAGCAAGATGACAAGCTAAATTTTGTCATCCTGAAGTGACGTCGAAGATAGCAGGCTCTCTTTGTTCTTTGGCTGACTCAGGTGCGTCGAGCAACTTTGTTCATTGGAAGGTCTCCCGAAGTTGAACTTCAAGGAAGTTAAAATATCTCGAAGTGTTTTGGAGGTGTGGTTGGCAACAGGTGCCACCGTAAGAACGGGGAAGCGCGTAGTACGCGTGCGCTTCTCGTACAAACATCGGGTGTTTGTGGAAGAGCTTATCGTCCTGGATCTGGACGATAAGTTTGACTTGGCATTGGGCATGCCGTGGCTTACACGGCATCGTCCAGTGATCAATTGGGAGAAGTGTACACTTGTACACTTCGGACTCAACGCATCAGAGAGCGATGGCCCTGTCAGTGTCGCGCATGTACCGCAATGTGCATCCGATCCCACCGTTGATGCAGCACCTTACGCTGCAGCCTCCGGTGCCCATTCACAAGTCGCAACGGCTGAGGCAGTCGCTTAGTCTGTCTTAAATCGGATTTCCGATTTAAGACACGTTCCTAATTCAATGACCATATCAACGCTGGGAGTTGATAGATCAAGTATGGAAGAACTTCAAGTCACATACAGTGACTGTGACGGTGGTGTGTCGGTCCCAGGAACTGACGCATCAGATATGCAAGGGACTTCAGCTACAAACAGTAGCTGTGATGTCCGCGTACACATAGTGCGTCAAGACGTTGAACGTCTTGATGCGAGCCCGTACTAGTCTGTAGTACCGGTCAATGCAATTGGAAAATCCTTCGACGAGTGCGTTGGAGTTGACGTCGCTTCTAGTCACGAGCTGGATGCGCTTCGCGAAGGACCTACGTACGATAGACGCATCGAACCGATCTGTATCCTTTTGGATATAGAATGGATGAACAGCGAAGCGGAGGAGTTGAGGCAACTCCACGCTGCAAATACCGCGGAGAGTAAGGACACTCTCCGCGCGAAGACGAAGAAGCAGCGCTTCGACGAGCAGAGCTGGGACTCGTTGAAGTCGAGTCCCTTCTAATATATTCTGCTGGAGCACAAGGATGTGCTCCCAGATGATATTCCTGCGGAACTTCCGCAGGACAAGGGCATATAGCACGGGATCGACCTCGTGCCGGTACGAAGTACTATGTGACGCGGCAGTGGCCACTGCCGCGAGATCAAGTAAAGACAATCGACGACTTCTTTGAAAGTCTTCGTAAAGCGGGTCAAGTGCGGAAATCAAAGTCCCCGCACGGCGCACCAACGTCCTGTGTCAAGAAGCCACGGGGCGGATGGCGCATCGCTCATACTTACAACAAGCTGAACAATGCGACGATACCGGCGCAGATGCCGATACCACGAAAAGACTTTACTCATCGATTCGATGGCCAAGAGCACCATATAAAGTGCTCTTGATTTGCGCGACGGGTTCTATCAGATCCTGATGCGTGAGGGGGGCATCCCTCTCACGCCTGTGAGCACTCCATGCAGTATGCTTTGGGAGTGGCTCGTAATGCCGCAGGAACTGAAGAACGCCCCCGCAACCTTCAATATATGTGTTACACATATATTGCGCCCAGTGCGTGACTTCGCACCGAGCTACTTCGACGACTTGTTCGTTCGCAGCCGGACTGAGGACGAGATGACTGACGTTGAGGTGCACAAAGGACACCTCCGTCAACTGCTAGGGCTTATGCGTAAACATAAGCTCTATGTGAACCTGAAGGTGTGTATCTTCGGGGCGAGCGAGGTACTGTCTCGTCGGGAAGAAGAACTTCCAACGTGAATGAACTAAGACAATTCCTTGGACTTGCAATGTACCTGTGCAAGACGTTGAGAATTACGCGGGCAAGATTCGCCCGCTGTCGCAGCTTCTGTAAAAGCAAGCTGAGTGACTGCTGAGTGTCAGCAGGCCTTCGATACAGTCAAGCAGCGCTTGACCGAGGCACCGATCTTGGCAGTGGCTGACTAAGATCGCACGGCTGCGTCGAAACAACCGCAGAAGAACACCGATAGCCGACGTGGTATCAGCGTTGACGACGCGAAGACAGTCTCGTTCCGGGGACGATGCTGCGAAAACAAACACGCCTGTGCGGCGCACAGACAGCGCGCAGACCGGGTCTGCTGCGGAGAAGAACACGTCTGTGCGGGGCACAGACAACGCGTAGGCTGGGCCTGCTGCAGAGAAGGAAGCCGAGCTGAGCAAACCATTTAGCACGCAATCACTGGACTTTGTCCAGTGCCGATAAGCCGTAATACGGTTTGTCCAGGACGCAATATAGGGTTCTGTAGCCAACCAGAAGCTGAACACAGACAATGTCGGTAGAGGAAACTCAAATAAATTCAAAAGGGGTTCATAAGTTCTGTTAGCTACACAGAGCCTACCACGATATGCAATTTCTGATTTCGGTACAAGCAAGCTTGCTCCGCGCTATATCGGCCCGTTTACAGTACTTGAACGGCATCGCAACGCGTTTACATTGGACATACTGCCCAGCATGCGACTCCATCCGACATTTTACGTCGGGCGGCTGAAGTCTTACGAGCAACGCGATCTATCTAGTCTTGATGGCTCGAGGATGACGAAGCAGCGTGAGCCAGCTTCTCAAGCGTGACGACGCGGTCGTACAGGCGTCTCAGCTCCGATCTGACTGCGACTTGGATACTCGAAGCGGTCTGAGCAGCCGCAGCGAACTGCGTCTTCTGTAGGCGCAGCTCCTGTGCAGGGCAGCGAGCTTCGCGCTCTGAGATTGTTCCAGAGCGACGAAACTATCGTGCAGAGCGCGAGAGCCATGGCCAACCTGAGGTAAACCATACGGAGGGTATATTTCTGCCCCCGCCACCGCCGCTGTGTGACGCACACAGATCGACACGTTGGATTGTCGAGCGGCTCGTGGACTTTGAAGCCCAAAAGGCGAACCGAGATCAAGCTCGTCTTCGTATTCGTTGGAGAGAATTTCTTCTCCATTGGGATACATGGGAGCCACGGGGCGTCCTGATGAAGGGCGTTCCGGAAATGGCGAGGGCGTACAATGTCCAGAACCGAGTGACGGCATATTGCCTGCATTAAAACTGCGAGTGCCACCAGCACGAGGTACACCACGGTGCGCAAGCTGAGCACGGAGGTCTCGCAGAGGAGCGGGTACACGCACGGAAGTGTACCCCGGCAGGTGATGCATAGTCTTCGCTTAAGATTCGAGTGCGCGTGTATCTGTCTAGACAATACAGAGGGGCATCGTGTGACCGAGCATATCCAGCTCCTCGTTGGTGAACAGGCGGTCGTAGCGTCCTGTAGAATCCTTCCCCTTGGTACTTTCGGTCTCTTGAGAGAACATCGCCCTAAGAGAGGCACAGTTTCAGGTGGAAACGCAAGGTATTTCCGCCTCCATAGCGTCAATATGGATGCGATCGATGAGATGACGCTTCAAGAACCCTCTTGAAGCATTGGCGTACCGCGACAATACGCTCGCGGTAGCCTTTCGCAAATGCGTTCTATGATTGACGAAGTGCCACCCACTCAGGCACTTTGCTTTGCGCGAAGGGTTTTTTCGACGAATTCCATCGGAGCTTATGGAAGCGTCCGATGTAGTAGTCACGCCTTTCATTCGTTAACGGATCAATGTGCATGACGACGGCCTTTGCGTCATCATTGGTGGCGCTGCATACGTACAGTCCTGTCGGGCTCGGCGGCGAAGTCGCACCGAGCGTGTCGGCAATTTCGGATGCAGTTGGCTTCCAGGGAGCGCGTACTACAGGTGCAGTACGCGGAGAAGAAGAAGGCACCGGCACAGGTGGCTGCACCTCCTCTTCATTGCGCGGACGCTTCGATTCAGGAGAGTCCGGAGCATCATCACGGCCTTGCCGTGACCCAAGAGGGGGATTGGGAGTTGGTTCAGCCGACTTAGAGTCGACAGCTGACGACGAGGTGCCATAGTCAATGGGTACGTCTCCGTCAGTAGACATAACTGACGAGCCCTCCATGACGACTAAAAGTTTGTCAGTCGTAGCTTGTGCACACTTCTGCTTATGCAGAGCGTGATAATGTGTGACAGAAAGGTTACCTTCTGTCGCGGGCGTGTTCGCTTGCGCGGACACTGAAGTGGTGGTGCCTGCACCTGCAGGCACACACGTAACAGAGTCTACAGGAGCAGACGCTTGTGCGAGCGTCTTCCTCGGCGAGCTCATGGCGAAATGAACTCGGGTTTCTCAAACGTTTTTACGGGCTCGTCAATACTTTGATTGATGTGTTAAGACTAGAGAGTCTTAGCTTAACGGGGGGGGGGTAACGGGGGTACACGCGAGGGGCTACACATAGCCACTTGGTAACGAAAGAGGTTTTCCACGTTGGTGTGAGATACACCAATGGTTACATTTGGCAGACTGTTGGTCTGCATGCATTCAATGTATTCATTGATTGAAAGTCAATATCTTCAATCAATTAAAATGGTACGATTATGTCAACCATTCGTTAGTAAATACCTTTCATTTAGAGAATTAGATTTGGAGGAAAGCCCCAACAAAAAAATAAAGAGTTCTTACTTTACCGGAATCGGCTTTGCTTTTCTATTTAGGTAAATCTATACTTTCGGACGAAAGTTTAGTTAATCTATGTGAAAAGCAGCTTACGCTTCCTTACACACGTGCGCTAGCGTGTAGGCCGAAGTAGTGGGCTTAAAGTAGGCCCATTACGGGCCCGTTCCATGATGAGTAGAATCATAGATCATTTTGGCGGATAAGGAGTACGAGGGACTAGAAAATGAAATGCGACCTATCATTCCAAAGTGTCGTATGCCTCGTGATCTGCTTACAGTCGAAGAAGAAGTTGTCAATCATGACACCTCATCATATCGAGTAATTGTAAACTAATTTTTTTGCAGACTTTGTACGTTATGGGCGCTATGTTCCGACAAGTATCGCTGGCAAGCGATTACACATGAACCCCACTTTAGAGCTTGTGCTGCGCTCACTAACGCCCACGCACAAGATCATCCATTGCGCGCAGAAGACGGCGAAACTATCGAGACTACCAGAGACGTATTTTCTCCATCGGGACGGAAAAGAGAGCAAGACGCCTCGGGGCTAACCGACGAGAAAGAAGGCGCAGACAGTTGCGAATTTGGGACGGCTACACCACTCAGTGACAGTGAATCGACCGAAATGGGTACCCCTTACTAAACTAATTAGTCACTTAGAAGACTCGAAATTCATAGTGTGACAACTAAATCAAAATATTGACGTATCCCTGAGATTATTTTTAATTGTGCGTGCGTGATTCAGATAACATGATTAGCATAGCTTGCGGTGTCTTGATTGTGTACTCGAACATGTTAAAACCTATTAAATAAGGTGAATCGTATTTATGCAATTTGGGCCCATCGTGCACGGTAGGTAGCTTCTGGTTTCGAGGCCTATTGATCATCAAGTTGATGCGGTGTGGATGATGCCAGTTCTGCGACAGGATAATGATGCTCATACTGACAGTACTAAGGGAAATCTGCAGTTTTTTTTGCTTTGGCCAGTTTAGTAGCTCAAGGTTATTCTACCAATGCCGTTGATGTATCCATCCGATAAATGATTTGGTTTGACCAAAATTTAACCAGCCGGTTATTGTGGAAACCCTCAATCATCTATTATTTGGACCAGCCCAGCTTCGCGCCATTCACACAAGAGCCTTGTGGCCTTCACAAGCTACATCACTAATGGTGCAGCGTTGCACCCGATACAGTGACGAGGATCGAGGTGCTGCTGTACTCGCAGGGGGCTCCATGAAGACAACAAGTGAAGAGACCAACATACCGTACATTACGCTTAACGCGTATGTGGCAGCTGCAAGCAAAGGAGACCCACGAGAGCCGAAGCGCCGAGATCCCCCCCCCCGCCTCTGTTGCCACATGATGCGGAAGTAAGTCTACGAGACTGAGTGTTAGGAATGCAGCGAGTAGGGAACCCTGTCAGCCGCCTGCTTCACATAGAGAAGCCGCCTGGTAGCAAGTCTCAGATATCGTGCGACAGAGTTTCTCATGCTGCCGGCTCGAGCGCTTAATAAGGGCAAGAAAAAGCGGAAAGAGACAGGAGGCCACATTTTAGCTCGCGGACTCCTAGAGAATGAAGAAAATTCAAACAAACGTGCCAAGAAATAAAAAAAGAAGCCGACCAGCGCACTAAGCCAGAATGGGGCTCCTGTGCAGATAATGACGACAATACCGCCAATGATGGATGTTATGCCAATGGTGCCAGCCGATGAGCCGTCAGTAGTGATGCAGGCGTGGGTTCAATTAATGTTCAAATTAAAACCGTAGATTTTCATGCCGAAAACGCTACGAAAATCGCCTAGCGTCTCACAATTGATGCAACTGGCGTCTCGATTTAAAAATTATTCTTGGATTTATCCGCATTTTTGTGCTGTCACTCCGAGAGGGCTAATAAACTGGCAATTTTCATAAATGTTTAATACTGTACAGTATCGACCAAATTTGGTGCTCTGAGCATGGACGCTTCATCTTTCTTCTGCAGGTAGGGGTGGGTAGTACACACAATCCGATCAATCGAGATGTATCTTCTGACGGATCCGATTGGCTCAATCCGATTTTCGATCTGCTTCGATAGAATCCGACTGATCGGTAGATCGAATCCGACTTGGTTGATTTGAATTTCTACAGGAAACCGTATTGAAACAGCTCAATGACGGATTTCTATAAAGAGGTATAAGGGTGTAAAGACTTAGATTGGTAACCGTCCGCTTGTCTTTTTAACCAATTAAGCTACAGTATCTTCAATTTCAAATAATAATTCGACATGACTTCTCATTAAATGTAAACGTTTATGGCTGCGGCGTGCAGCTCACTTAATAATTGGACCCATAGAGTCTCCAGGCTGACCACAAGCGCCAGGCAACGTCATGGAGAAGACAGAAGGCGATGCGAGGCATTCAACACTGCGCTCTGCCCGGCTACACTATAAAGTATGTGTGTTGTGGTTGAAGACTGATCCGATTGGATCGGATTCGATCGGATTCGATCCAATCAGATGTGTAGTTGGTGCGTCATACTTCATTATTTAAGTAAATCACAGCTGCACATGGCCCCGCTGCGATTCAGCATCTCATTTCCTAATTCACTTCATCCGCATTTTTTTTTTCACTTTTAGCAATGGAGAGTCAGGTCGAGTCAAGCACAAATTGCGGGTCATGTAGTATAAGGCACGCTAAAAATTTGAGGCGCTCAGATATATGGACCTACATTCGCTCAAACGCGGACGGCACGTTTGTGGTGTAGCGGGATCAGCAAAATCTGCGAGATTGCCAGATCCAACTTACCAACTGCGCCCAGACACCGACTAACGGAGGGGTCCCCCGATGATCCGTGTTCTGCTGAACTTTCCTCACCTTGTGTACCCGTCGGTAGGGCGGGATCTTGCTCTCTCGGTAACTTCCGAAGAGTTCAAGTGGTGAAGCTTGAGTATCTTGGCGAGGCGTGGGGATTGGGTGGAGCAGCAGTGGAAAATGTTCACTCTGCGTCCGTGGATTGTTCCGAATCCTAAGCGAATATTCGAGCTTATGGATCCGGGGCCTAGATCGTGGATCTGGCCGTAGGGTTGCCTTGCGGGTGTGTCCCTTGCCTTTGCGTTCCTTTGCGTCGTACTTGCCGCCTCCTGTGACGGGATCTTGAGAGTTGAGAGCCTCTAGGGTATAACCGACCAAGTAGTAAATTCGGTTAACCCGTCGGATCTGCACGTGTATGGGAAAGCTTACTAGGTTGTAGGAACTGGCCAATGTATTATCCAGTTATCACTACCAGCACTAGATTCGCAATTCCCAACCTTCTCCGAGCTCGTACGGCCAATGTAGTTCCGGTTCTTGAGGGCAGGAAGGCACTTGCGTGTTATCGTGCAAATAGAAGTCTGTATTGATACTTAAGCCTATACCTGCCTGGATCTCTACCTTCTATGTCTTTTCCTCGTTAAATCCCTTACCAGGCTCGGCTGCTTGTCCCTTCTTCCCTTGACCCATCACCCCAGCTGTATTATCTTCAGATCCACCGGATCCATGGCGTAATCATTATGGTCACCCTACTATGGGTACACTCATCAGGATCCAGGTCGCTTGGATCCACTTCACTGTAAGTGTACCCTCGTCGTGGATCTGAGCTCTCCAATCATCCAACATCATCTCGCAACCGTCTGTGATCTCCATTGTCCCACGAAAGTTCGAGATCCACTACATCCACCATCCCTATACTCTGGATCCAGGTCCCTCAAGGCGGGATCCTCCCTCCTTGGACCCGAACTCGTAAGTATGGGATCCGGGGTACTTTGCGGTGGATCTTGACTCCTCGTTAGCCGTGGCTACTAGATCCACCTTCAGAGGGCACCGACCGTCCTTCCTTCATAGGATCCACACCCGATCCACTCTTGTATAGTATATCCCATATCCATCTTGGTGAATCCAGGTAAGGGTGGATCCGAGGTAAGTCTTGATGGATCTTGCCTTCTCGTACTTCGTGCATACCAGACCCATCGTCAAATCATACGGGGTGCTGCTCGTCATGGCTAATCCACCACAGGCAACTTGCATCCGTGCCAGCCAACCCAAATCCTCTCTAATCACTTGAAATTGTCACTGATTCGGGATAGTGACCCCGCGTCAGGCCCATTCTCTTATTTCTGAGAAAGCACTTCACCACACGTTCTCGTGTCTGTTATGCCCTGCCGACACTGCTCCAGGTTGGAACACCTGCGCTCACACCACATTTCGACGGCACTTACAGAAATGGCACAAAGAGGAATATGGGGGCGGAGATGACGAAGCTGTGGAGGGTACGAACGGTGCTCGACAGACGGATTTACTTGCGTTCGGATTCGAGCGGTATGAGAGGCAGCGTACGTTGGACAAGGCAGCTGCTGACTCCGAGCTCATAGCCCTGATTGTATCCAACGCACTTCCTTTTAGTCTTGTCGAGAAGAAAGAATTCATATTGTTCTGCAACACGCTCTGCTCGGAGTACATGCCACCAACAGCTCCTTGCTGGACTCTGTTTGACATCAGTGTCGGTCGTGTCTCCCAGTCCTGTAAATGAGCACGAGAAGGCTCACGCTCGTTGTTGAGCTTCAAGGTGAGCGAGTTGATTTGGGAAACGTAGCGGCTCTACATCTCTTGCTGAGTCATGGCCATCTACACCAGACGCTGCTCGTTGGCTTGCTCGGCCCTTTGGTGTTTCTGAGCTGCGTCTGTTTCTACTCGACACTTCGGCAAGATTAGCACGAGGCATCTCGATTTCAGCCAGCATCTGGCTCTTGATCACTTTCAGTCCCTCCTCCTTCTCGGTAGATGCACTGCCACTCTTCGCCCCCATCTGAGTATCGCCTCACCTCCAGACGATTCTTCGTCTCTTCGAGGTTCAGAATGTGGGCTGAGCACTCGTCAATCTTGCTGCAAGCCTCCTACATACCACCCGTCAAAGTCTCCACTTCACGCTGATGCAAAGCTTTTCGCCCTGCAGCTCATTCTTCAGCTCTGCGATCGTCGTTTTGATCAAGCGCCGACTTGGCACCTTTAAGCTCCGTTACGTTCCTCGAGCTTTGTCTTTATTGGTGCAAACTCTGTCGTGTGCACCAGACGGAGATTCACCTCGGTCCTGAGAATCATACGCGTGTGCTCGATTGGGCACGCTGGATCCCGCAAGTCGTTCTTCTTGTCCTTTAGCTCCACCGACTCCTCTTCAAGCGCGTCTTCTCCACAAGCTTGCCGCACAGGTGGTACATGACTCTGCGATCTGCTGCTACAGCTTGCTGGCCTTCTCGTCGTAGTCGCATGAGAGCTTCGTGATGAAGCCACCTTCTGACTCCACTTGGCAGCGTTTAACTCCTCCGTCCAGGATTCGGTAGTAGAGGGACTGTCCCAGGGACATTGCTCCAGCTCGTTATAGTCCAGAAAACGCTCAACCAGCAGGTTCTCCCGGCACTAACAGCTACTAACACAGCTTGCTTCTTCATTTCGTCGCCATTTTGGAGCACTTGAGCCACCTGCCCCATCTCCGTGAGCTCCAACTGCGCGATAAACTGCTTCGTCTTCAAACGATGCAAGGGCTTCACGTCACGGTTGACCAGATCCAACGTGTCGCCCGAAGCTGTCTCAATACGCTTCAAGGCATTGGTCAACAGACCTAGCTGCAGCTAGGTCTTGGCCGGCATGCAGCGTCGACGCCAACTGTCGGGCCATCTTGTCCTTCTCGCTTATTAAGCTACGGATCTTCTTGCGCGGCTCGGTTACCTCTTTCTTAGAGTTGCATGCCAGCTCGTTCTACCGTCAGGTTTGCTCGAGCAAGGTCTTCAACACAGTGATTTTTTTCTGCGCCAACATCAGCTTGCTTTCCTCCTGCAACTTCTGCCTAAGCTCTAAACGCTGCGCTTCCTTATGCTCTCCGTCTCAGTCAACGTCGTACGCAGCTCCTTGCTGGCAAAGCAGCGCTCTACTTCGGCCTTGGTGGTAGCCGCTCAGCAACAGAGTGGGCGAGGTATTCACGTAGCTGGTCTCTCTGCCTCAGCCTTCGTGAGTAAAGCGATTAGTTGTATATCATAATATTTTGTTTTACAAAAAAAATATTAAAGACAGGCAAAGAAGTGCTTACTATTGGTGCGAACCGAAGCGTTTTCCGACCAATCACCTGCTTGCACCGTCAGCAATCTATTGAATCCGATTCGATCCGATTACACGCATCGACAGCGCTACCGCTTCGACACACTCATCCCGAAACTTGTTCTTCTCCTCTGCAATCTTCCTCCGCAATTCTTTAGGAAGAAAGAAGAAAAACATTGCCAGGGGGCTATCTGCATACGCTAGCGCAGCTTTGGTAGGTCCAAAGGGTCCTTCATACATCGGCGAAGCTTCGAGACGTAGCTGACCATTTGTGTGTTCATCGTACGTGTCCCATCCAGCACGTTGCAGATCATCCAAGACTTCCTTACCCAATCCAGGTAAGGGTGGATCCGAGGTAAGTCTTGGTGGATCTTGCCTTCTCGTACTTCGTTCATACCAGATCCATCGTCATTTCATACGGGGTGCTGCTCGTCATGGCTAATCCACCACAGGCAACTTGCATCCGTGCCAGCCAACCCAAATCCTCTCTAATCACTTGAAATTGTCACTGATTCGGGATAGTGACCACGCGTCAGGCCCATTCTCTTATTTCTGAGAAAGCACTTCACCACAATCGCCTCCTGTACGTTGTCGGCGCTGCACAACAGCGTTCACGGCGTGCATTACCAGCATCCACAACCGCTTTCTCCCCTTCGTGACACATGTCTCCCGCGGCAAATCGTCGGGCAAGGCCCCATCCACCACACCTCCGGTCAGTCCGTCTTCCATGTCGCCCACCGATCTGCGGGTTCTAGCCCAGGCGCTTTCCGATCAGGTGCAAACCCTGACGGCGGAGTTCCAGACTGCTCAAGATGCCCAAGACCAAGCTGCGTCTCTGCACACTACCCAACTTCAGACCTTGCGAGCCCAGGTCCATGACCAGGCTATGGAGATCCAGGGGTGGGAGCACCGTGCGGCCTCTCGGTCGCAGGACCTGCGACTCTTGTTGGCTGATCAGGCGGTCGAGATCCGC